GTATATGTATATGTATATGTATATGTATATGTATATGTATATGTATATGTATATGTATATGTATATGTATATATATATGCTAGTCGTTCCCGAACTCTAGGGGGCGGTGCTCATCTCCGTTTCAAAGCCGAAGAGCCAGCACTGTCCGAAGGCATCTCCGTGGTCATGTGACTGGCATGACTCAACGCCAAAGGCACACAGAACACTGTTCCCTTCCCACCAAAGGTGGTCCCTATTTTTCTACTTGCATTTTTACATGCTTTCGAACTGCTAGCTTGGCAGAAGCTGGGAAAAGTCACACTAGCTCACTCCGTTACACGGGCGCTAGGGATTCAAACCACTGAACTGCCAACCTTTCTGATCGACAAACTCAGTGTCTTAGCCACTGAGCTGCCACGCCCCTTGGAAGAAGTAGGAAGGTTCAAATGGTTTCCAGTTTTGTTTTATTTGACAATCCCTCCAGAAAGTGTAAGTGTGCAAATGTACACATTTCTCTTCAGCTTATGTGTCAGTTCCAGGAAGTCTGGGAGTTGAAGTTCACACATGCTATAATTGCTATGATTGAGAAACCCTGGTGTAAAAGCAGGGATTTCCAACTTTGGCAGCTTTAAGACTTGTGGACTTCAACTCCCGGAAGGATCTTTTCTAGAAAGCTTCCAGAATTCGGGAGTCCACAAGTCTTAAAGTTGCCAAGTTGAAGACTCCTGGTCTAAAGTGTTCTCACAAGTTGGTAAATCACACATGTACACAAGTACCTAGTAGGGAAATTCTGCTCATGGTTGGAAGCCTCCTAAAAGATCACAAGACAGTTGTTGTCAGAGATGCTCAAGGCAAGACGTAGGTGTTGCGTCCCGCCAACAACCTGTGGAGCTGGCAGCCGATTTGAACAGTGAGGAGGGTTGGGGAGGAACCTGGGCCAGTCCTGGAGTCTGGGGGAGGCTCTGAGGAGGGCTCTGTGTCGGAGGCAGAGAGGGGGCCGTATGCCAGTTCTCAGCTGCCTTCCAAGTCAGACATCAGCGAGGCAGAAGAACAGCTGGAGTCTGTTCCCAGTGTCTGCATGCGCAGAGTTGCCAGATGAAGGGAATAGCTAAAGAACAGGAGTCGACTTGGGAGGAAGGCCGCAGGTGGACAGTGAATGGCCCCTCCCAGAGGGGATAAAAGGGGAGCGACGGGAGTGGAGTTTGCAGGAGACCATTAAGTTCGCTTCATTGGTTCCTGACTCTCCGAGACTCCTGGCCAAGTTCTGCAGATATCGGCCTGGCAGCTATCCAAGCCAGAGAAAGTCTGTGATGGTAAATCCTCCTTTTAAAGACTTTGCCACCTACGAAGGAGCAGAATTCACTGCAGATTAATAAAGGGGCTTCTTTGCAGGGACAAGGAGTTTGTTTCATGCTCTTGGGAAGCCTCGAACAGTATGCCTCCTCTGCCACCCACATAGGAAATCCTCACCGCATCCCTTCTTCAGCCAACAGGTGGAGAAGCATTGGCGTTACCATCAAGCTATAGGTCTTAAGTCACCTAACATTTCATAAAAACCCATTTGTGAAGGTAGCAGGTAGAATAACAGAGTTGAAAGGGACCTTAGGGTTCTTCAAGTCCAACCCCTCACTCACGTAAGAGGCCCTATCAAACAAACAGCGGTCTGATCTTTTTCTGAGAAGCCTCCAGTGATGGACACATTCCCAACCTCTGGAGGCAAGCTGTTCCATTGGTTAATTGCCCTCATTTTTAGAAGTAACAGAATAACAGAAGCTGGAAGGGTCTTGGAGGTCTTCTAGTCCATCCCCTGGCTCACTCAGGAGATCCTATACCCATGATGGCCCACAGAGCTCTCTCTCCGTTGCCAGCTGTTTTCCTGGTTTCCGTCTTCAATAATCTTCCACCTGTTACTTCTTGTCCTGTCCACAGCTGGTTTTCTGGCCCTTTCCCCATAAGCTGCTCACCAGTTGCAGGGACCCTTCCTGCCCTCCACGAGCAAAGCTAAGTGGGACAATCAAAAATGCAAGCACAAAAAAAGCCATGCGCCTTAATCCTTCACCCTTCGAGCGTTGGCTTGTAGCCGCTTTCTGAAAGCTGTTAGCTTGTGCTTTGTGGTTTCTGAGATGCTGTGTAGGGGAAGTTGTGTTTGGAGACAAGCTGAACTCACTTCCTGTCAGGTCTGAGTAAGAGCAGAACAGTTTTTAAATGAGAAAAAAAAAGGGTCAACAGATTTCTACCTTGCCCTCGCCTACCACCGTAAGCTTGGCGGCAATCTCCCCATTGGCCAGGAATCACACTTCTGGTGGCCCCGGGGTCGCCAAGACAGATCTCCAAGAAGCTTTCTAAAGGACCTTGGATGTGACATGCATTGGACACGGAGATTAGAATGGATTTAAGGAAGCAGAAGATCGCCACGGGCCAGTAAACGAGTTCTGGAGAGGCCGGAACTCAACAATTGTCAGGTTTCTCCCGAAGATCGATGGACTTGGCCCAGCCTTGGAAGGAGAAGTTGACACGAGGGTGAAGTGTTGAAGGAGAGGAGGAGAGGCGCTGTGTCGCACCCATGTCACTGGCCATGAAAGCCCGGCAGAAAGTGAAGCGGAAAGGACCGGCGAAAGATCGGGTCTTTGGCTGCGATCTGGTGGAACATCTGCAATCATCTGGCCGTGACAGTAAGTGACTTTCTTTTGAGAGACGGGCACGTTTTTCAATCCCCTTGAAGGGCCATTAGCCCAAACAGGAAATGGGGTGAGGTGAGAACTTCTGCTAAACAATAAGCTTTCTTCTGAACGGGCTTCGTTGGTTTTCTGAGAAGGTAATTCTTAGGTAATTCATGAATCATAGAGCAAGAAGGAGGCCTTCTTAGTCCAGGGGCCTCCAAACTCTGCATACTTTAAGACTTGTGGACTTCAACTCCCAGAATTCCCCAGGCTGGCTGTAGAATTCTGGGAGTTGAGGTCCACAAGACCTAAGGTGGCCAAGATTAGAGACCCCTTACTCTACTCCAGTTTATGCATAAATCTAGGGTCCAATCTAGTTGCAACTTCGCAACTAACAACAACCGCAGGAGTCTTCTCCAAGCTCCAGATGCCTTATCAGGTTTTCACCGAGCATATTCCGAGAAGAACAATCACATCTTGTTACAGGGCAAATACAAAATTAATTGTTCAAAGCAGTCGACAGCAACATCAAAATCAATGTTTGTGTCCATGAAAAAGCCAAGCGATGAAGCTGGTTGAAACTGGGGTTCAAACTTTTGGAGGGCTGAGAAGGCATGTGATAAGACCATATTTGGAATATTGCAACCAGTTCTTGTCACCCCAATACAAAAAAGAGGTTAGATGGTAGAAATTTCCTAAGAATGAGGATCAGTGGGACAACTGACCTCCAGAAGTTGTGGGAGCTCCACAGGGGTGGGTTTCTCGCCCCGTTCCAACCGGTTCGGTTGGAACGGGGCTGCCGGCGTCCTCGTGCACGCACACAGTGCACGCATGCGTACTAGCGCCTGTGCGATGCTCCAG